CAAAGGGGCAGCTTCCGTCCAGAGGTGAGAAGGGAAGGCAGAGAGTTAGGAGCTGGTTGAATGTTCATGGGGAATCAGGGGCAGAGGGGAGGAGTGTGCTGTCGCAGAATGGGGTGAGCGGTTGGGGTTTCATAACAATGTATGTTAAAAAAAAAAAATTCTCTATGGGAGACTAACTTGAATGTAAACTTCATTTAATTACAAAATAAAAAAAAAAGAATTGTATGAGCTGGTTTTAAACAGTCATTATTAAAAATTCAATTATATAAACTTAAAATTAAATAACTTATATTAAAAACAAATGTAAAGTAAATCAAAACCAGAATGAGATACTACTCAACACCCACAGGATGGCTATTATCAGAAAAAATGGAAAATAACAACTGTTGGAGAGAATATGGAGAAACTGGATTTCTCATAAATTGCTGGTGGAAATGTAAAATGGTGTAACCGCTGTTTGTATAAAAAGTATTCTTTGCTATGAACAGGCACTTCACCAAAGAAGACATTCAGGTGGCTAGCAGATACATGAGGAAACACTCATGATCATTAGCCATTAAAGAAATGCAAATCAAAACTACAATGAGATACCATCTCACCCCAACAAGGCTAGCTTTAATCCAAATAACACAAAGTAATAAATGCTGAAGAGGTTGTGGAGAGACTGGAACATTTATACACTCTGGTGGGAATGTAAAATGGTACAATCACTTTGGAAATCAATTTGGTGCTTCCTTAAAAAGCAAGAAATAGAAGTATCATAAGATCCAGCAATCCCACTCCTGGGTATATGTCCTAGAGAAATAAGAGCCATCACACTGTTCACAATAGCAAAAAGATGGAAACAACCTAGGTGCCCATCAATGGACGAATGGATAAGCAAATTATGGTATATTCACACAATGGAATACTATGCAACAATAAAGAACAACGATGAATCTGTGAAACATCTCCTAACGTGGATGAATCTGGAAGGCATTATGCTGAGTGAAATTAGTCAGTCACAAAAGGACAAATATTGTATCAGACCACTATTATAAGAACTCAAGAAAAGGTTTAAACACAGAAGAAAACATTCTTTGATGGGTATGAGGGTGAGGAGGGAGGGAGAGAGGTATTCACTAACTAGATAGAGACAAGAATTATCTTAGGTGAAGAGAAGAACAACACATATTACAGGGGAAGTCAACACAACTGGGCTAAACCAAAAGCTAAGAAGTTTTCTGAATACAACCAAACACTTCAAGGGACAGAGTAGCAGGGGCGGGGGCCTGAGGACCATGCTTTCAGGGGACATCTAGTTCAATTGGCATAACAAAGTTTATTAAGAAAACGTTCTGCATCTCACTTTGGTGAGTGGCATCTGGGGTCTTAAAAGCTAGTGAGCGGCCATCTAAGATGCATCAATTGGTCCCAACCCACCTGGAGCAAAGGAGAATGAAGAACACCAAAGACACAAGGAAAGAAACAGAAAGGGCCATATAAACCAGAGACTCCATAAGCCTGAGACCAGAAGAACTAGATGGTGCCTGGCTACCACCAATGACCCCACCCTGACAGAGAGTACCTGACAGAGTAGGAGAAAAGTGGGTTGCAGAACTCAAATTCTAGTAAGAAGATCAGACTTAATGGTTTGACTGAGGCTGGAGGGACCCCAGAAGACATGGCCCCTGGACTCTGTTAGCCCAAAACTAAAACCATTCCTGAGGCCAACTCTTCAGAAAAAGATTAGACTGGACTAAGGGACATAAAATGATGCTCGTGAAGAGTGTGCTTCTTAGCTCAGGTAGATACATGAGACTAAATGGGTAGCTCCTGTCCAGAGGCCAGATGTGAAGGCAGAGAGGGTCAGGAGCTGGTTGAATGGACATGAGAAACCCAGGGTGGAAAGGAGGAGTGTGCTGTCACATTATAGAGAGAGCAACTAGGGGCACATAACAGTGTGCGTATAAATTTTTGTATGAGAAACTAACTTGAGTTGTAAACTTTCACTTAAAGCACAATTAAAAAAAAAAAAAGTATCCTTTGCAAATCCTACTATTTTTACTTCTTCCAAATAGGAAATAGTGTAAGCAGCAAAGTTTTTCCATGGGTATTAGATTTCACTGAAGCAAAATATTCCTATCATCTATAATATCTCCTTAAACCCAGAACAGCTCCCTGAGCATCACTAAACTTATGCATATTAAATACAATACTTGGAATATATATATATACACACACTGCAGCTTGAATCACCAGACTTCAAAGGACTTCCTCATCTGGAAACAATACTGACCTTCAAATCTGCTAGTGAGATCTTGCTCTATCTCATCAAATCCTGCTGCTCGGACATTGGCGAAGAAATCTTTCAAGTAATCCAGAGCATCTTTGACTCGGGCATGCTCACTGATAATGAGTGCATCATTATATTTCTGTTTAAAATGAAAATTGAATCTTAACATGTTTCTAATGCCTAACATAACATCTTCAGTTCAATTAACTCTACTTAACGAGAGACTAATTTTGAGGATAAACTTTCACCAAATATATTTCAACTTTCAGTTTTCTAAGATTAATGGTCCCTAAGTGTTCTGTAATAAATTTCTTTGAACCAAATACAATTAAAAAAAAAAACTCAATTACCTAGCATCATTAATTAACTAGAATCACTCCGCTATATTCTACCTTAAAAGAGAAAGAAAAAATTACACGAAAAACCTATGTCAAACAAAAACAAAAGCAAATCATCTTCCACATCAGCCTGCCCCGTAATTCAGACATTTCCACTTAATCTCTTGTACATCCAAAGCCGTCACTGAATTGTAATTGCACCTCTTCAGAATGGTGGTGCTGACCACCTACACCAAACGTTCAATCAGCTTAATTAAGAGTCTACAGGTGCGTGCTGATTGAATCCATTTTATAAATCTTTTTAATGGAAAGATAAACAGAAGTGATAGTTGTTTTTTTTTTGTGCTGTTGTTTCTTAATTTCTTGGTTAACCAGAAAAACCAGATGTCTGAGCATGTGACTGTACCAAATGTTAAGTAAAACATATGCTTCAGGATATGGCAACAGGACCCACCACCTGAACTTTAAAGAGGCCTGTCACTATCTATAATAATGTTCTCTTACCATCATCCAATTTTTTTCCAACCACATCAATTAAGGGTACGCTGGAGGCACAGCCTCCAATTCCAACCTTTGTTTCAGTTCTGTTGTCTCCAGTGTTAAGCTTCAGAAAGCAAACAAAGAAGCGGCTGAATGGGACAACTTTTGGAGTTTGCTTCATAAGAACCTCCTGGAAAAGCTCCTAAGCGAGCTCTTGGAGATAGGATGAAAAGTTGATGTCCTCTCTGCTGCCATGGGGAAGCTTCCAGTAGGTGCTATGACCAAAATACGCCCTTTGAAAGAAGGAACGTACCCGTAGATGCGAAGTGTACAAGAACAGTGCCTTACAAATCCTGCTCTCTTCATTTTTATCCGGCATCTGCAACACCATGCACGCTTTCTGAACTGCAACAATCCATTGTTCATATTTCTGTGTACCAAATTTCCTACTTTGAATATGAGATAAGTTTTCTGGGAAAACAAAAAAGTATTTCACTGTGTCATATGGTCAGTAATTGAAGGATCTAGGTATGCTTTACCCTCCAATTTTCTTTCTTACTCTCTGTAAAGAAGGTACCACCAGTTGCTGTCAAGTCGATTCCAGCTCATAACGACCCCATGAGTTTCAGAGTAGAACTGTGCTCCATAGGGTTTTCAATGGCTGATCTTTCAGAAGCAGATTGCCAGGCCTTTCTTCCAGAGCACATCTGAATGGACTTGAACCTCCAACCTTTTGGTTAGCAGGTGAGCCCATTAACTGTATGCACACCCAGGGACTCCATTACCTGATTAGTCTTTCTCATAATCAGGTAATGGGGAGTTGGATGGAAGACAGAGTGAAGGTGGGTAAATCAACTAAAAGGCTGTTAGAATAGGACCTAAGTCAAACTGTGAAAGGAAAGTTAAAAGCAAAATAAGGGTGAGAGAAGGAAAGACACCCTGAGATGTCTCACAGATATCACAAATCCAACGTCTCCAAAACTCTAAACTCACTTCGTACCTGCCAAAGCTGCTCCTAGTCTTGGAACCAGTACTACCCACTCGCATACATACAGATGCCCAAGCCAGAAACCTGAAAGGAAGTCATCTGACTGCTTCCCCTCTCTCACCTCCACCAAAATCCATTTAGCCATTAAGTCTTAATGCTTCCAGTTTAAAGCACCTTTCACATCCCACCTCCCCTCTCCAACTCACCTTCACTGCCTCTGTTTGGTTCTCTTCATTTATTAGTATCTTTATCACATCACTAATTAATTTAAAATCTTCAGTTGCTTCCCATGGCTTTTAGGACGAACTTCAAACTCAGCTTGGCCTACCAGGCCCTTCACTATCTGTCCCCACGTCTCCCTTTAGCCTCTCTCCCTTCTATTACTCATGTGATAGAATTATCATGAAATGCTTCTAGTTCCTAAAATTCACTATGCTCTCTCATGCCTCTATGCCTGCAGTCCTTGCGACCTTGCGTATTTTTCTCTCCTTAATTTGGTTGACATCTTCAAGATTTGTCTCAGGTACTACCTCCCCAGGAAGCCTTCCCTGCAGCCCAGTCTAGATCAAAGTTCCCATGTACCCCTCTAGCACCCAGTGTGTAACTCTGCCCTGCCGAATGGAAATTATTCCCATCTGATTCTTGTCTATTTAACTGTGAGTTTCCTGAGGGCAGGGACTATGTCTCTAATCTTGGCATTTCCATTTCCTACCACAGTACCTGGCACAATAAATATGTGGTGAATGAATGAATAAATAGGGGAAGAACAAAACTTGGTGACTACATGAGGGAGTCTCAAAACAAGAAAGAATCAAAAATCATCCCTAGGTTTGGATCTGAGTCACCAGGGCAATAGTGGCCCCCTTCATAGAAACAAGGAAGTCAGGATGAAGTCAATTTGGAAGGTCAAGAACTGCTTTGAATATGGTATTTTTGAGGTGTGGGGGTGTCCAGATGGATTTACTTTGGATTTAAGAAAGGAAAAAAAAAAAAAAAAAGCAAGAAGGAATAAAGGAGGACCTATAAGGTTCCTGAATAACCCATATTCAAGAGAGTCAACTGTGGATATAGTCTTGACATTGTTCAAACTGAAGAGAATGCAAAAAGACAGTAGTGAACAATATATGCCCACTCCCGAGTGGAGAGGACACAAAATATGAGATTTTTCTCACCAAGAGTTAGAGTACCAAGTTCTTCAAAGACATTCTTTGCCATATTCTCTGTCTCCATCATCAGCTGAGATATAATGCATTTAAATTTGTTGGTAGTCCATGTTTCCACTTTCCTGAAACCTAGAGCCAACAAAGGACAGTGAGTATTTTTCGGGAAGGACAGATCATAGGTCAAAGTAAATACCTCCAAACCCTGCTGTGCCTTTGTTGCTTCCTCTGTAAAATCTCAGACTACAGGCTCACTAGCAGATGGTCTAAATGAGATAACAAATGTGCAAAACCTTTCAATGGCTTGCTATTGCTTCATGCTCTGATTCTAACATCTCTGTGTTTCATGGTCTAGGTCTAATCTGCCTTCTCACTCTGGCTTTCCCATGATCTCAGCACACAGCCTCTGCTCTGGTGAGACTAGTTTCCACTTTGTCTCTGCAAAGGCCATACTCTTTAACCTGTCTGTTCTCTGATATTCTCCTTCCCCAACTAACCCTCAGGAGTGTTCACACTGATTCTACCATCCATCATTGCATTCTTTCAGTAGAAACATATCAAATGCCTGTCATATGCCACATACTGGTGATAGAAACTTGAAAAGAACATACTCTCTGCTCCAGAGAGGTCTGTGTTCTTAGGGGAGAGAAAGATATGTCATCAAATAACCACAGCAGAGTGATGTAACAGAACTATGTGCAAGGTATCTTGGGGTACAGGGGAGAGAGTATCTAATTCTTCGGGGGAAAAAGTGTTGTGGAAGAAATAGGGGAAGGTGAGAGGAGTAAGCAAGAGTAGTCAGGCTCAAAAGATAGCATGGGCAAAATCTTAGAGGGAGAAGCTTAGCATATGTTTGAGGACCCCAGCTGGGTTTATGGGAGGTGGGAGGGGATGAAGAACAGATGAAGGGAGCGACCAGATCATAAAGAAATTCCTACGTCATACTAAAAAATTTAGATAGACTATCTTCTCTAAACTCCCTCCAGGCAGCCCTCAGAAAGGAACTTAACTGCCCCCCTCCCTACTATTCCATGTGTGTTTGTTCTGCCTTACACTCACAAAGTCATATGCTACTCAGACAGCAAGGATGAAGTCATATATATCATCTATACTCTCCCATACAAGGTTAGTACAGGGTTGGTATTCAGTAAACATTTGCTTTTCAATCTTATAAAAAATCATATTCTGATCTTTTGAAGGAAGTTGTGATGAATTCAGATAATTTCATTTCAGCCAAAATTATCAGATAAATATTCAATAATGAAATGACCAAACGATATCTTCCTCAGGCATGGAACACAAAGAGAACTGAGCCAGGCCCTGGGCCATTTTCATGCTTATATTTTCTCATCATCTCTTTCCCACTGTTACTACCTTTATAGTTTTATGGAACCAAACAGCAAGAATGTTTGATCTCTACAAGTCACTCCCACATTTCATCCATTGCTTGGGGAGAGAACTCAGCTGGGGAGAAATCTGGAAATGTGATTATTTCCCAAGTTTGGGGTTAAATATTTTCTACTAAACAGAGAGGGTAAAAATGCAACATTCAGTATATATCATCCACATGACTCTGAGCTAGAAGTAGCAAAGGGTAACAAAGTCCTGAAGGGCTTGTTACTGGATGCCACTTACATTTCTGGGGCTTGTAAACAACTTCCTCCAGTTCCTCCAAGTTGTCTTTGACTGTTGCTATCACTGATGTGTCAAGAGAAGCACATAGTTTGCAGATATATGCCACAGCTTCAGTTATGTTTTTGGCATCCCCAACGCCAACCGAAGCAGTTAGCCCTACGACCTGTTAGGAGAAGCCCAAATCATTAGATGTCTGGGAAACAGCATAACACTTCCATGTAACCTCCTCCCCCGCCCCCCGCCCCATGTAATTCCGTCCTGCTGGAGCAGTTTGTGTGTGTGTGTGTGTGTGTGTGTGTGTGTGTGTTTACCAACTTCAGACAAAAAGCAAGAACTTTTTTTTTTTTTAAACTGACATTCTCTGTGACATTCAAAATAGAAAGGTCCCTATTAGGCTAAACCAAACAACCAAAACTGCCACTGAGTCGATTCCAACTCATGGAGACCCTACGCGTGCAGAGTAGAATTGTGTCCACAGGGTTTTCAATGGCTGTGACCTTTCAGAAGCAGATCACCAGGCCTTTCTTCCAAGGAGCTGCTGGGTGGATTCAACCCACCAACCTTTCAGTTAGTAACAATGCTTAACCGTTTGCCCCACCCAGAGGCTCCCTCCATTAGGCTAAGCACTGAATAAATGCAGGAGTGGCAACTCATCAGCAGAACACTAAGCAGCATAGAAACTGAGACAAGAAACTCTTTTGAGGTAGGACTTCTTTCTTCTTCATCCCTGTTACCTCTGTGATGCTGAACAATATACAATATACTAAAAAGGTCAAGGACTGAAATCAGACATACTTCCATTCCAATCTGAGCCCTGCCACACTGGCTATGCCTCACTGGACAAGAATCTTCAGCTCACTGTAAAGTTGGGGAACGGGGATTAGCTATTTAAAAGGTGGATTCAGTAAAATAACACCTGCAAAGAATACAGCTTAATGGTCACCTAATAAATATTCATTTCTTCCTCCAACAGTCACTCAATAAATACTGAATAATTGACTCACCAGCAAGGAATCTAGTTAATTACCAATTTTATTCTAGAAGAAAAAGCTGTAAGAAATATGGTTGCTACCGAAGGGTACTTTTTTGTCTGTATGCACCACACTGAATTTCTTCTAACCTATACTTCCGAAAAGGGTAATTATCAAGGCTGGAGAACTATACACAAGTGTGCAGAGTGGTATTAATATAAATTCATGGTTTCCAGTCTCAATTGGGCCTCCATATGATAGGCAATTCTCCTTTGTATTCTCTCAGTTCTCTCTCCCACTTCAAACCTTCTCCACTCTCCCTGAGCACAATGTCCCACTCCCATCTTGATTATTCTCAGCAAATGACCTACCACTCCTTCTACATTTAAAAGAAAAGAAAGGATGTGCGACAGGGATTTCATAGGGTTTTCAATTGCTGTGACCTTTTGGAAGCAGATCACCAGGCTTTTCTTCCAAGGAGCTGCTGTGTGGATTCAAACCACCAATCTTTCAGTTAGTAGCCGAGTGCTGCCCCCATCTAGGAACTCCTCTGTCTTGCCTCTTCTTACTGCCTTCCACCTGGTGACACCAGTAATGCTGTTCCATCTCTGCTCCCATGCTAATCCACCCACTTGATACTTATTCCACACCCGCTCTTGTCTCTTCCAGCATCTTGCCTTATCAATCATTCCCTCTGTCTTTCCAATCCTAGCTCACCTACTGCTATTCCCTACCTCACACTCTACACTCCAGCAGTACTGAAGGGCTTCAGGTTCTTGAGCACACCATGCTCTTTCATACCTCTGTGCCTCTGGACACATAGCACCCTCTTACTGAATCCCAACCACTTGTCCATCCACCTGATGAATTCCTATTAGGTCTTGCCTGATTTTCAAAGCACAGTTAGGAGCTCTTTCACTTATGTTCTGACTGCAATTTGTTCCCATCACCACCGCATGCCATTATGATAAATTGTGACAGAATTCTCACGCATCTGGCTCCCCACAAGACTTAAGCTCTTTTAGTGTAAGGACTATGTCTTTTTATATTTTTATCTCCAGTGCTTAGCACAGTGCATGGCACATGTAGCCATGTAATACATAAATGTTAAGTGAATGAAAGAATGAAAATTAATTTACATATACCAAACCCAAACCAAACCCGTTGCCATAGAGTCAATGCCAGTTCATAGCAACCCCGCAGGACAGAGTAGAACTGCCCCATAGGGTTTCCAAGGAGCAGCTGGTGGATTCGAACTGCCAACCTTTTGGTTAGCAGACGAGCTCTTAACCACTGTGCCACCAGGGTTCCAATTCACATATAGAGTATATAAAATTAATCAACATAATATAAACTTAGGATCTAAGAAGGCCATCCCCAATGTGGCCACAAGAGTAAATAAATAGGAATTAGGAAGTTTGTTGCTCTTCTGAGAAATCCATCTGGCTTTGGAGATACCTGGGGCAGTGGGTCTGAAGATCCGTCAAGCTTCTGATCTAGATAATTAAACATGATCATATTGTAGGGGTGGTGTTTACTGGTGTTGTGGCATTCATCAAATATCATCAAGGTAAAGACAGAGAGCGATGGAATAGTCCCATTTTTAAGGTTGTTCACAAGAATCTGTGGAGTTAAAATGATGATGTCGTTGTTCTCAATAATCTGTCTCACTGGGACCTCTTCAGATGTTGCTCCAGAAATGCCTGCGACTGTGTACCTGGGAAATGACAGAAATTCGCTATTACCAACCCCAGTGTGAACGATAAGTCACAAAGATATGAAACACTGGGTCAGAACATCAATTGATTAAATTCTCCCTAAGTCTAAAAGGAGCATATCTGGATACATGTCAAGTGCTTATCACAGAGCCTAAAACAAAGTAAGTGATCAACAACTGCATGTTAGTTGTAACTGATAGTTTTTGTGTGGTATGCCATTGAGTCACTTCCAACTCATAGTGACCCTATAGGACAGAGTAGAACTGCCCCATAGGGTTTCCTAGGCTGTAATCCTTATAGAAGCAGATCGCCAGGTCTATTCTCCCACAGAACCAGTGGTGGGTTTGAACTGTCGACCTTTTGGTTAGCAGCTGAGCACTTAACCATTGCACTACCAGGCCTCCTTGTAATTGATAATAGTATATGTTAGTTATTTCAGGTCACTAGGGAAGAAAAGAGTACTTAAAGAGAATTATTAAATAAACTATAAAATCACTAAAGAAGTTAAATGTGCCATTTAAATGTCAAATTTATCTTTTAAGAAGTCATTTATTCACTCTGTAGGAGCCAGCCAGAGCAGTTTAGAATTTCTGGGTATACCTAACAAAAAAGACTTGAATCTATGAACAAATCACATATAGACTATATACAAACTGAATCTATTACTGTATAGATTTTTAAATTTTTTTTTCAAAAACCAAAATTAAAAAAATATATTTTTTTTAATATATATGGAGTTAGAAAAAAAGATGTTGGACTAACCATTATACCTACCCAAGCCTTTCAAAATATTCTGAGAACACAGATTTCTGCTGTTCATATACTGGGATTTGAATAGCAAAAAAGACAATCTTCCCTTTTTGTCCTTGTGGAAATTTTTTAAGATGATGTTCACATATAAGAATGGAAACAAAGGTTTTTCCACAACCTTTTAACATGTAAGAAAAAAAACAAAAACACATTACTAACATTACACTAACATTACACATTTAGTTTTGGCTCCTCTAAAACCACTAGGCTGACTCTTAAACTGATAATGGGGAAGTGCTACCAAGAACTGCAGAATTTACAAAATGACTAAAATATATACACTCTAATAGGGCCCAAAGTAGACTAAAAGAGGATATTTTTCTTTCTCTTCTCATGTCCCTTAAAATATCTTGAGACTGTATTAATAGAATGGTTTTTTCAAAAGACAAATGGAACAAGGAAAAAAACTGAAACTTGCCCATTTTTTCCAGGGATTCAATAAAAGAAAAAAAAAAGGAAGCAAATGGAGGAACAAACTGTAAGTAAAGGCAATCAGCTTACCAGTAGGAGCACATATTATTGTATTTTTTCCATTCTTAGCAGGCAAAGCGAGCTCTAGTTGGTAATTTCTTGGCTTCACTGGGCTGTACAAGTTGGTATAAGATACTTCTGTAATACAAAAGGAACAAAATTACCAAATAGTTATGACTCTGTGGAATCACAGCAGTAGCTATAGACCAATGGACATGAATTCTGACTCTGGCAAGAAAGGTGTCCTTTAAGGAGTCTAGAATCCTTGTCTCTTGTTAACCATTCCAGCTTCTCCACTGATCTGAAGTACAGAAGTTTCCCCCAGTGACAAAGGATTGACTGCAAAAAGGAAAAACAAGAAACAAACAAAAAACACCAAGAATTCTTTCCTAAACAAACATGGGGGCTTAGAAGGGAAGAACTAAAGCAAGAATGGCCTAATTCAGGTCAAGGCAGATGACCAAAGGTTAAAGAAAATGGCTACAACAACAAATCTCTCCAAGATCTTTGAAGAAAACTAAACTGTTAATGTTGGATTCCCAAAGCAATCTCTTACTGAAGAGCAACCCCGCTTTATAATTCTTCAGGCTCTCACATGGTATTCTCTCTCAACAGACCAAAATTAAAGAAAAGAAAAAAAAAAAATCAGAGACTTTATCTCACTAAAAAATAATCATATAAAATGTTAAGAGCTAGAAAAGTTTTTGGAAATCACCTAGTGAGTCCAATTTACTCATTTTAATGAAAGGGAGAATTTCTGAAAGGCTAAGGAACTTCAAGTGTCAGAGAAAACTTTAAAGCTAAGAACTAATATTCGTGGATTTTATTATGGAATGACAAAAAAAGTGCATCATCTGGTTGCAGAAATAATCTGCAAATTTTCTTATGTTGTTCTTTGTTATAACAAAATCACATCTTCCTTTAACACTAACCAACCAAAACCAAAACCTTCTGCTGTCGAGTCGATTCCGACTCATAGCAACCCTGTAGGACAGAGTAGAGCTGCTCCATAGGGTTTCTAAGGCTGTAAATCTTCACGGAAGGAGACTGTCACCTCTTTCTCCCATGGAGTGGCTGGTAGGTTCAAACCACTGACCTTTCAGTTAGCAGCCCAGCACTTAACCACTGTGCCACCAGGGCTCCTTCCTTTAACACTACTTACCATGAATCATAGTTTCCTTCCTGATGCCCTTTTACAAATAACTTTTTATAATGCCTCCTTATGTAATTTTCTGGTCTCCTCATGTAACAGTTACGAAAATATGCTTCAAGAAAGATAAGGTGGCTACCCAGCTACCGCCACCAAACGTTCTGATTAGGGTCACAATACATGAATTCTAATAGAAAGGGAGAAAAATGTAGAATAGAACTTCAAATTCTCAAAGAATCCAGACTTACTGGACCTATTGTAACTGAAGGAATCCCCGATGTCTGGAACTGAAACTATCCCCCATAGTTACCTTTTAACTAAATAGCGGGTGAGCTCAAAAAGTAAAGAACATCACCCCTGAGTACTGCACTCTTTTAAAAAATCATCTGTGAGACCAACTGGACAACAGTTACTCTAACGCACAGATGAGAAGGTGGGGAGGCACTGAGAGTAAGTGAATGGGAATGGACTAAGTTAACTAGAATGGAAATAAGGAGAACGTTGACATAATGTGAAGAATGTAACCAATGTCACTGAACATTATGTGTAGAAACTGTTGAATGGGAACCTATTTTGTTGTAGATACTTTCACCAAAAATATAATAAAATATTAAAAGAAAGAAAGATAAGGTGGGCCTTATATAGTGCCTTTGTAGGAACTAGAAAAAGGAGCCCCTCTTGCAGCACAGGCTGGATCTCAGCCCCCATTCATCCCCTCGGCCAGGTACAACTTGTGCAGTGCAAACTTCATTAACTTACATGGCAGCCCGGGGACCTGGAAAGAAAACTGAGCAACTGGCTCACAAATAGTAGAAGTATTTCTTTACAAAGGCAGGGCTGATTGTGGATTTCAAAGAAGTTGAGCAAGTTGAGTTTTAGGGAGGACTCTATATGTATTTTTAACGTAGACATGCACCTTCTTTCTTAGTGATAAAAGGATGAGAAGATGAAGTAGACAGCAGGTATGGAAGGGAAAGAATGGCATTTCTAATTATTGAAAAAATATTTATTTTAACAAAAATTCTCTTTTCCAATTTTCCTTAAAAATCTTTTCACAAGGCTGTGACTTTTGGCACTGTAAAACACGTCCCATATAAAATACCTGCAGAGCACCGTTATACAAAAGAACAAACAATGTCAGGTACCTGAAGATGGAGGACATGAGCTCTGACCAAGATTCTGGTATTCTGGTTCTTCCTGGTAGAATATTTGTACTTCAGAAGTTTCCATTTCATCATTCTGAAGATCTTTAGTTTCAACATCTTCTACACCTTTATGAGACCAAAAAACATCTTAGAATCTTAACATAACCTGATAATAGTTTTGAAGGGGTAAGCCCCACAAAGAGATCAAACAAACAAGCCCACTGCCATCGAGTCAATTCCAACTCATAGAAACCCTATAGGACAGAGCAGAATAGCCCCACAGGGTTCCAAAGGCTGTAAATCTTTATGGGAGCAGACTGCCACATCTTTCTCCTGAGGAGAAGCTGGTGGGCTCAAACTGCCAACCTCTCAGTTAGCAGCCAAGCTGCTTTAACCATTGCCCCACCAGGGCTCCTTTTACAAAGAGGTCATAACACTGAAATTTTAAACTTTCATTAAGATTTCCCCATAACCACTCCCTTCACCTTCTAAAACAATTAAAAGAATCGTTTTGACTTTGAAATCTCAATTTAGAGTTTGAATTTCAATGCCATTTAGCACTTTATTACTCAAACCGTGCAGCATGGACCAGCAGCTTCTGAAGGTTATTAGAAATGAAGAATCTTGAGCTCCTACTGAATCGGAATCTGCATTTTAACAAGATCCCCAGGTAATTCATATGTACATTAAAGAAGAGAAGCACTGGTTTAGGAGGCATTTCTTATATTTCTAAGTGACTCGACCCAAGAATTTCTAGAACTAAAAAGTCTAAGGAAAGCAGCTAAGCAAAGCTAAGACCACGCAAATTGTTCAACTTCTGCCTTTAAAACAATGCTTTGAGAAGATGTTAACTTCAGGAAGCCAAATGAGCGCTCAGGTACTTAATTACCACAAATTCTTCTTCTTCTTTTTTTTTTTTTTTTTCTTTCACTCCTGGTCTGGCCTAGTTTCAGGTGGGTTCCAGGTGAAAAAACTAGGCAAGGCCTATCCTGGTTCTACTCCTAAAAGGGACTGAGTCCTGGAATTTGAACCTTTAACTCTAGAATTCTCAAGCTATCTCTCTGATAATCTAGACACAGACCTAACAGTGAGTGAAAAACAGGTAGGAATGAGGAAGCCCTAAGTAGAACCATGAGGAATGGAGAGCGTGATTTCAGACCTTCCCACTTCTCTTTTCCGAGTTCTTCCTTAGAATGTCCTACCTTTCTCCACAATCCACAGTTCATTGAAGTTGTACTCTTCTTTCTCCAAAGCAAGTTTCAAAACTTTGGGCCAGTTCTCCTTGTCTGATCTGAGAAGGCATTCAACCATTTTCTCTGCACCTGCTATCATCCCCTTGTTGGAACAAACCTAAGCAAAGCAACTGCAGTTTGTTGATCAATCATTTCAAAAGTTTTCCTTTTATGAGTTTTTACTGAAGAAATATCAATTTAAGTACTATCTGATTTAATACTCATTGTATACTATGGTTCAGTGGGTCTTATTCATGACCATTTTTGTGCCATCCAACAGTCTTTTAAGATACTGTTTCCTTCATCCTTGTCCTCTACACTTGATAATCACTATGTTAAGCCAAGCTTCCTCATTTCTTCTGCTGAGCTCTTATCATCATCAGCTTATCATCATCAGCAATATCAGGAAAAGAATTAATCCATTCACCAACCATTCAGAATATAGGTATATTGGCATAGAGAGATATTTGGAAGAATACAACAAAATATTAACCACTGTTTTTTTCTGGGTAGTCAGATTTACATGTCTGTTATTATTAATCATCCTTATAATCATATTAACTAAAATTTATTAAGCACTTGTTATTATGTGCAGGTGTATGTAAATACTTCACATATATTATCTCATTGAACCTCTATGAAAATATCATGTTAATAAGGTACTATTATTAATTCCATTTACACAAGAAACAGAGGCTTAGAGAGGCTAACTAACCAGCCCAAGATGACACCACTAGTAAATGGCTGAGCAAGGAATCTAACAGAATTATGTGCCCAGAGCCGAAGTGCGTGACTACTAGTCTATAGCCGAAAAAGGCTATATTTTTATTTGCTGAACTGTTCAATTTTATTTTAATTGGCATAAAACATTTTTCACAAGAGTAATAATTGTAACTAATAAGAGGGCAAACCAGAAAAAAAATTGACAAAAATTACTCAGTTCACAATTACAAGTACTATTATATAATTATACCTTGAATTTGAAATTTTTGTGAATTTCAATTATCTTTCTCAGGTCTCAAATAGCATAGAAATTAGAAAACATTTCCCATTTTCAAGTTATTTTCCCAAACATTAGTATTTTTGTATTAATTAACCTGTATAATTTCTTCACATTCCTGATTAATTAAACATTGGGATATTTCAGGAAGGATATCTAATGGATTAATTCTGGTTTTGAATTCTGGTTGTAAACGTCTTAAAAGCAATCTGTGCTCCTCCAACTTTTCAATTTTTTGGAAATCCCAATTTTCAAAGGCTTCATAAAGTCCAGTATAACCTGAAAAGAAAGAAGAAAATGGGAACAATTGTGATGTCAAATGAAAAATACTTTAAGATCATAAGAATCATTGTTTGAATATATAGTAAGAGAACTCTTGAAAAAAAATCTATGAATTACCTAAACTAATAATGATTTTTCAAAAAGAAAAATTAATGTTCACTTTAGGCACCCAACATTTTATGTCCTCTTAAAATGTTTATCATCTCCTAGGAGAACGTTGTTGTTGTTAGGTTCTGACTCATAGTGACCCTATGAACAACAGAACAAAACACTACCCAGTCCTGCATCATCCTCACAATCACTGCTATGCTTGAGCCCATTCTTCCAGCCATGGTGTAAATCCATCTGGTTGAGGTTCTTCCTCTCTTTTGCTGACCCTCTACTTTACCAAGCACGATGTCTTTCTCCAAGGACTGGTCTTGCCTGATAACATGTCCAAAGTACGTAAGATAAAGTCTCATCATCCTAACTTCTAAGGAGCACTCTTGCGGTACTTCTTCCAAGACAGATTGGTTCATTCTTCTGGCAGTCCATGGTATATTCAATATTCTTCAGCAACACCATAATTCAAATGCATCAATTCTTCTCTGGTCTTCCTTATTCATTGTCCAGCCTTCGCATGTATATGAGGCTATTGAAAATACTATGGCTTTGGTCAGGCATACCTTAGTCCTCAAAGTGACGTCTTTGCTTTTTAACACTTTAAAGAGGTCTTTGGCAGCAGATTTGTCCGATGTAATGCATCATTTGATTTCTTGACTGCTGCTTCCATGGGTGTTGACTGTGGATCCAAGTAAAATGAAATCCTTGAGAATTTCAAACTTGCTCCGTTTATTATGTTGCTTATTGATCCAGTTGTCAGGAGTTTTGTTTTTTTTTTATGTTGAGGTGTAATCCATACTGAAGGCTGTAGTCTTTGATCTTCTTCTGTTAGTGCTTCAGGTCCTCTTCACTTTCTGCAAGCAAGGTTGTGTCATCTGCACATTTCAGGCTGTTAACGAGTCTTCCTCCAATCCTGATGCTGTGTTCTTCTTCATATAGTACAGCTTCTCAAATTATTTGCTCAGCATACAGATTGAATTAAGTATGGTGAAAGGATACAGCCCCAACGCATAGCTTTCCTAATTTTAAACCAAGGACTACCCCCTTGTTATGTTTGAACGACTGCCTCTTGGTCTATGTACAAGTTCCGTATGAGCACAATTAAGTGTCCTGGAATTCCTATTCTTTGTAATGTTATCCACAACTTCTTACAACCCACACAGTCAAATGTCTTTGCATAGTCAATAAAACACAGGTAAACATCTTTCTGGTATTCTCTGCTTTCAGCCAAGAACCATCTGACATTAGCAATGACATCCCTCATTCCACACCCTCTTCTGAATCCTTAGGAGAAAGTCTCAAGAAACCCGTTGCTATCAAGTCAACTCTTATTCATAGCAACCCTATAGGACAGAGTAGAACTGCCCCATAGGGTTTCCAAGGAGGAGATGGTGGATTCAAATTGCCGACCTCTTGGTTAGCAGTCAATCTTTTAAGCACTGTGCCACTAAGGCTCCTAGGTGAAAGTTCTAAGGACAAATTAGAAGTCTTGTATTTGGTCTTAGCATAAAATCTTCCTTCCAGAGTGACCCGTAGATTTTACTTACAACCCTTGATTTGTCTTTGTTACTGTTGTTGTTGGGTGCCATCGAGTTGATTCTTCACAATACATGAATATTCTCAATATTAAATTGATTTGGAAGCCTTTTTCAGATATTCTGGATACCAATCCTTTAGTGCTTATATATTTTATACATATCCTCTCTCAGTTTGTGACTTGTTTTTTCACCTTCTTTATAGTGTTTTTAAATAAATAGATGTCTTAATTTTAATGTCAAATTTATCAACCTTTTCTTATGGTTAATGCTTTTATGTCTTGTTTCAAAAATCCTACTCTACCTCAAGGTCACAAAAATATTATTCTATATGTTTCCTAAAATTATTAAAATTTTGCTTTTTATACTTAAGTCTTTAATTCTTTTGAAATTCAATCACTGAATGAAATAATGTAAGGAATACAAATTTACTTGTATAAAAAAATTAGGATTTGTTTGGTTTTAAATATTATCCTATTTATGTTATCCTGTTTATAGTGACCCATTGCAACTTATCGAATAGCCCTCCTTTCCCAGGTTTCCATAAATACATGAGTCTATTTGGAGGCTCTCTATTCTATTCCATTGGTCAATTTGTTGATTCCAGAACAAACACTACATTGTCTCAATGGCTGAAGCTTTAAAATAAAACTTAACAGTTCTGTAAACCTTCATCTAAAGTGAGACTAGCAGCACAACTGGTAGAACGTAATCGATGTCACTGAACTGTGCATGTAGTAATTTTTGAAATGGTATATCTTTGGCTATGTATATTTTCACCAAAAAAAAAGGTCGAGAAGGGAGAAGGTTGACATGTCGTGGGGTTGTTAACCAATGTCATAAAACGATATGTGTACTGACTGTTTAAAGAGAACTATTTGTTCTGTAAACCTTCATCTAAAGTACAATAAAAAAAAAGAAAAGAAAACTTAATATCTAGAAGGGGAAGCCCCAACCTACTTAATTCTTCTTCTTGAGGGGTATCTTGACTATTCTTGGGTCATAATTTTTCCCTATACAGTTTAGAATCAGCTTTTCAAATTAATTGAAAAAGTCTGTAAGATTTCTATTAGAATCATCCTGAGTATATAGATCAATATAGAGGGAACCAACATTTTCATGATAACAAATCTTCCCCTTATGTTCATGAGTATATATCTCTGTTTAGTTAGGACTTGTTTAATATTTTTCAATAACATTTGATCATTTTCTCCATTCAGATTTCAGACTTCTTTTGTTAGATTTATTCCTAAATGTCTTATTGTTTTTGTTACTGTTATAAATGGTATTCTTTTTAGAATGCAAATTCGATTTGCTTCCACTGGGTGAATGTCTTAGTTATCTAGTGCTGCTATAACAGAAACACCACAAGTGGATGGTTTTAACGAAGAGAAGTTTATTTCCTCACAGTTAAAGTAAGCTAAATGTCCAAATTCAGGACATCAGCTCCAGGGGAAGGCTTTTTCTCTCTGTCGGCCTTCTTCTCTTCAGTGTTCCCCGGGACTAGGAGCTTCTCTGTGCAGGGACCCCAGTCCAAAGGACACGCTCTGCTCCCAGCACTGCTTTCTTGATGGTGTGAGGTTCCCCTGTCTCACTGCTCACTTCTGTCTTTTATATCTCAAGAGATTGCCTCAGGACACAATCCAGTCTTGCAGATCAGGTCCTGCCTTACTAACACAACTGCCACCCAGCCTCTCTCATTAACATCATAGAGGCAGGTTTACAACATACAGGAAAATCACACAGTACCAGGAATCATGGCCTAGCCAAATTGATACACACATATTTGGGGGAACATAATTCAAGCCATGACAGTGAATATAAAAATAATTTTTATATGCTGATCGTCTATCCAGGAATCTTGTTAAGCTCTCCCATTAATTATAATAATCTTTCTGTAGATTCCTTTGGATATGTCAGGTAGATAATGATATCATCTGCCTGAAAATAGTCTACATAGCCTCAAATTGAGAGACATGAACTACATAGATACCTCAAAAGTAACAGCCTTTCACTTTTACAGCATTTCCAAAGAGCCAGGTGACATCCTTTGATCTGTAAAAAATAAACTAACCTGCATGTTTCAGGGCATCCAAAAAACCACGGAACCAGCCTTCCTCCTTGAGCTCCTCGAGGATGTTGAGAAAAAGTGAGGCAGCCTCCATAGTGCCCTTGTTGTTTTTCTCCGTCTGAATATATTGCATCTCATCTACAAACAAAAGCAAGAGAGACTCACGAAACTGAACCACTAATCATTAAAAAAAAAAAACTGAAAAAAACCTGTCAGACCTTCCCGAATAGAGATGGGGACTATAACAAATCATACATTGGAAGGGACTTTAGGAAGGCAGCAAATTCTCTGCCCAATCAGACTACGTCCATTTTTCACCAATCCACTCTCCTGTCCTCTCTTGAAACTTCTCCTAGTTTGGTGCACACTCTAGGGCACGCCTTAAGAAAAGAAGTTGCTAAAAAATACTTGGAAAAGGTTCCCCACAAGAAGGGAGAAGTCATGGTAGCACTGGGGTAGATGGAGGAACAAAGGCTTTTCTGATAATCTTTTGTTCCCTGGTGGTGCAGTGGTTAAGAGCTCAGCTGCTAACCAAAAAGGTCGACAGTTCAAATCCACCAGCCGCTCCTTGGAAACCCTATGGGGCAGTTCTACTCTGTCCTATAAGGGTCGCTATGAGTCAGAATCGACTTGACGGCAACAAGTTTTGTTCAAAACTAATTTATTCAGAATTAATTCATTAATTCAGAATCTACTGCAAGACTAAGAGTGTAAGACTAGGGCCACTTCATGGCATCAGTAACAATTACAGCAAACTCAGAAAGTGGAAGGGGGCAACAGTGGTTCACTGATAAATTCTTGTCTTCCATGCAAGAGACCCAGGTTCAAATCCTGGTCAATGTACCTCAAGAGCAACCACCACCCCTTTGTCAGTGGAGGCTTAGGTGTTGCTATGATGCTGAGCAGGTTTCAGCAGAGCTGACTAGAAAGAAAGGCCTGGCAATCTACTTCTATAAGATTGCAACCAAGAAAACTCTATGGAGAGAGGCAGGGCCAAGATGGAAGAGTAGTCAGATGCTTCCTGTGGTCCCTCTTACAACAAAGACCCGAAAAAACAAGTGAATCAATTATATATGACGATCTAAGGCCCTGAACATCAAAGGCAAAGTTGAGGAATGGGACTGAGCAGCTGGGGGAGGAAGAGATGGTTCAGAAGCAGTGAGAAGTTGCCAGACCTGACCCGGCGGGAAACAGCACCCTGCAGGCTGGATCAGCTGGCATGCATGGTGAGGCAAACAGTGACGCTCGGGATGCATTTCCCACGAGCAGCAGAGAGTCTGCTCAGCCCTCCAGAACCAGAGAGAAGCGGCGCTCAATCAGCAAAAGATAAGTACATGCGTCTAACCTACTGTGCGGGTCAAAAAACACTCCCTTTGGGAAGAACTGCTCTCCCATTTACCTGCCTCCTCCCCACTCTACACTGGGTCCAGGCTGGTTTCAGTGATTTCTGCATCCCCTGGGCCGGAAGTAGGACCTGTCGCCATTCTCCCGGCTTTGGAGAAAGAACAAATTAACAAACAGGAAAAAATAATCTACCAGCTCCCCTAAGCTGGGAACTCAGGGCAGACACCTAGGCATAGGCATAAGGGGTCCACGGACTTTGGCTGCCTTTCACCCCTGCAGAGACCTGTGTGGGCCCATTTCAACAGCATAGACCCTCATTAGCACAGTACAACAGGGAATATACCTGAAGACTAATTTCAACTATATCATCTATATGGTGGAGTGGCAAGTTCACGACATTTGACACTGCTCTGCCCATTAGCAGGGTCCTCACCTACCCACATCAGGGGCCTGAGAACTGGTGGCTTCACCCATGCCACCTAGCCACCTGTGACAGGGGTCCAAGAATAAGTGGAGCCTCCCAGTCCTTACAGCCAACAGCGTTGGGTACCCATAGTCCAGCTGCAAAACCCACCCACCTACATGCTCTAGGGAACAAGGACATGCTTTCCTCTCAGACATTCAGGGGCAGCCGTCAGCCCCCTGCCTTGTTCCGTACATGACCCCCTACTGCAGCCAGATACCTGTGCCTACTCCAATCACCCTGCCCATCTAGGACTGTAGGTGAGAGCCTGCACCACACACATGGTGACCGATTACCTGGACACCTGAGCTGAATCCATACAAGAAAAGTAAACAGTCTCCTGGGCTCACATACCTACTAACAGCTCTAACCACCTGGTGACAGGACGTGAGAGTCAAAAGCGCCAATAACCAAACTGACTCACACAAGCAGCCTATTTGGGCATATCAAACCAAAACAAAACAAGAAGCTAGGACACAGTAAGCAAACATAAAATAAATAAATATAATAACTTATTGATGGCTCAGAGACAAGAGTCAATATCAAATCACATAAAGAGGCAGACCATGATGGCTTTAGTAAGCACCCCAAACAAAGAATCAAGAAATCTTCCAGAGGAAGCGAACTTCCTGGAATTACCAGAGGTAGAATTCAAAAGATTAATATCCAGAGCTCTTCAAGAGATCTGGAAGATCAGGCAAAATGCAGAACAAGCTCAGGAACACACAGACAAAGCAACAGAGCAACTCAAGAAGGTTATGCAAGAACATAATGACAAATTTAACAGGCTGCAAGAATTTATAGAGAGACAGCAAACAGAAATCCAAAAGATTAACAATAAAATTTCAGAATTAGATAACTCAATAGAAAGTCATAGGAGCAGAATTGAGGCAATGGAAGTCAGAATTAGTGAGACTGAAGATAATGCACTTGACACCAACTTATTTGAGGAAAAATCAAATAAAAGAATTTTTAAAAAATGAAAAAACCCTAAGAATTATGTGGGACTCTAGCACAAGGAATAACTTATGAGTGATTGCAGTACCAGAATGGGGGGGATAACAGAAAATACAGAGAGAATTGTTGAAGATTTGTTGACAGAAAACTTCCCTGATATCGTGAAAGATGAGAAGACATCTATCCAAGAAGCTCATCGAACCCCACATAAGGTAGATCCCAAAAGAAAGTCACCAAGACATATTATAATCAAACTTGCCAAAACCAAAGATAAAGAGAGAATTTTAAGAGTGGCTAGGAATAAACAAAAAGTCATCTACAAAGGACAGTCAATAAGACTAAGCTTGGACTACTCAGCAGAAACCATGCAGGCAAGAAGGCAATGGGAGAACATATATAAAGCCTTGAAGGAAAAAAACTGCTAGCCAAGAATTAGCAAAACTGTCTCTCAAAAGTGATGGCAAAATTAGGGCATTTCCAGACAAACAGAAGTTTAGAGAATTTGTAAAAACCAAACCAAAATTACAAGAAATACTAAAGGGAGTCCTCCGGTTAGAAAATCAATAACATCAGATAACAACCCAAGACTAGAACACAGGACAGAACAACCAGATATCAACTCAGATAGGGAAGTCACAAATAAATCAAAGCTAAAACACTGAAAATAGGGACACAGGGACATCAATATGTAAAAGATGACAACATTAAAAAAAACTCTGTGGAGCTCAGTTCCACTCTGCAACACATGGGGTTGCCAGGAGTCAAAATTGACTTGATGGGAATGGGTTTTGTTAGGTTTTATTAGCTAATATGTGCTTAATAAATTATCTCCCATGCTAGCGTGATGCCTGACACAAACGAGATGCTTTAATTTATTGAATCAATACATGAGTGCATAAAGAATGGGATTCACACAAGTCAGTTGGTGTTTCATTCATTCCAATTTCCTTTTTGATTTCTTCTTTGATCTATTGGTTATTTAGGAATGTGTTGCTTAATTTCCACATATATATATGAGTTCCCTAAATTTCTTCATGCTACTGATTTTTAATTTCATTCCACCATGTTCAGAGGAGTTCCTTTGTGGTACAAACAGTTAACACATTTGGCTACTTAACTGAAAGGTTCAAATCTACCCAGAGGCACCTCAGAAGAAAGGCCTGGCGATCTACTTCTGAAAAATCAGCCATTGTAAATCCTATGGAGAAGAACAAAGTAGGAGCCCTCACAGTCCCTGATCTCAGAACCTATTATAAGGCCATGTTAATCAAAACAGCTTGGTACGACAATAGATACACAGACCAATGGAACAGAATTGAGAATCCAGAAATAAATCCATTCACCTATGGACAGTCAACCGTCAACAAAGGGTCAAAATCTGTTAAATGGGGAAGAGATAGTCTCTTTAACAAATGGTGCTGGCAAAACTGGCTATCCATTTGCAGAAAAATGAAACAGGATCCTTACCTCACACCATACACAAAAACTAACTCAAGATGGATCTAAGACCTAAATGTGAAACCTAAAACCATAAAAATCATAGAAGAAAAAATAGGAGCAAACCTAGAATCCCTAATTTATGGCATAAATAGATTATCAAACATAACTTAAAAAGCACAAAGAGCAGAAGATAAACTAGATGATTGAGACCTCCTGAAAAATCAAATACTTATGCTCATTAAGAGGCTTTTCCAAAAGAGTAAAAAGAGAACCCACAGACTGGGGGGAAAAATTTTGGCTACAACATATCTGACAAGGGTCTAATCTCTAAAATTTATAGAAAACTCTAACAACTCAACAACAAAAAGACAAACAACCCAATTAAAAAATGGGTAAAGGACATGAACAAACACTTCACCAAAGAAGACATCCAGGCAGCCAACAAATACATGAAGAGATACTTGTGATCATTAGCCATTAGAGAGATGCAAATCAAAATTACAGTGAGATACCATTTTATACCAGTAATAATGGCATTCATCAAAAAAACAGAGAACAAATGCTAGAGAAGTGTGGGGAGATTGGAATTCTCATACACTGCTTGTTGGAATGTAAAATTGTACAACTACTCTGGAGAATGATACGGCACTTCCTCAAAAGCTAGAAGGAGAAATACCGTACGATCCACCAATCCTACTCCTAGGTATATATCCTAGAGAAATAAGAGCTGTGACATGAATAGACACATGGACATCCATATTCACTGCAGCATTATTTACAACAGCAAAAAGATGGAAACAGCCTAAGTGCCTATCAACAGATGAATGGATAACCAAACTGTGGTACATACACACAGTGGAATACCAGACAACATGAAAGAATAACGATGAATCCACAAAACATCTTACAACCTGGATTAACCTGGAGACATTATGCAGAGTGAAATAAGTCAATCACAAAAGGACAAATACTGTATGAGACCACTATTGTAAAAACTCAAGAAAAGGTTTTCACACAGACAGAAACATTATTTGATGGTTACCAGGGATGAGATGGGGGAGAGAAAACCACTAACTAGATGTAGACACATACTAACTCTGGTAAAGGGAGTGATAACACACAATATGGGGGAAGTCAGCACAACATAATCAAGGTAAAGGAAGACACTGAAAGGTACACCAGAGTAAAAGGCAACAACTGTAAATACTAATACATAAACAATTCTGCAACAACAGTAATAACAAACAATAATGTACAAGTGGATACATAGGTAGATATGTAAGCTGAACAAGGTTGGGAGGGCGAATAGAAGTATAGCCACGTACACATATATGTGTACATGCTGCAAATACACCTATGTATGCAATAATGCACACAGGAGACACAGTCATGAAAACCTCTTAGCCATAACCATACATCTCCCAGAACTGAGATACTGAACATGAGGCCTAGGGACCATAGTCTCAGGGGACATCTAGATCAACTGGAATATCATAAAATCCATACAGACGATGTTCTACATTCTACCTTGATAAGTAGCAATTGGGTAGTTCATAAACTGGGTAGCTTACGAGTGGCCATCTAAGATACAACAATTGGTCTCTTCCCATCTGGAGCAAAGAACAGTGAAGAAAACCAAAGACTCAAGGAAACAGTCAGTCCAGAGGGCTAATGGGCCACATGAACAATAGCCTGAGACCAGAAGAACTAGATGGTACCCACCTACCACTTCTGACCGTTCTGACCGGGACCACAATAGTAGGTCATGAACAGAGTGGAAGAGAAATGCAGAACAAAATTCAAACTCATAACTAAAACCAGACTTACTGGTCTGACAGAGACTAGCGGAACCCCTGAGACTATGGCCCTTAGACATCCTTCAAACTTGGACTTGAAACCACTCCCAGATATCACATTATAGCCATAAAATAGACCAAAAAAAAAAGTTGCCCTCAAGTCGATTGCGACTCACAGCGACCCTTAGGACAGAGTAGAACTGCCCCCATAGAGTTTCCAAAGAGCACCTGGTGAATTCCAATTGCCAACCTTGTGACTAGCAGCCGAGCTCTTAACCACTGTGCTACCGGGACTCCTATAGACAGGCCTATAAAATGGGCAGTAACACCATTGAGGAATGTACGCTTCAGAACAATCAACTATACAAGACCTAAAGGGCAGCATTTGCCCCAAAGCAAAGTTCAGAAGTATGGTCAGGAAAGCTGGGCGAATGGACATGGGGAACCCAAAGAGGAAGAGGGGAAAGTGCTGACACATTCAGGGGTTTGCAACCAATGTCACGAAACAAGTTGTGTATGAACTGTTGAATGGTAAACTAATTTGCTCTATATACTTTCATCTAAACAACAATAAAATGTTCAAAAAAAAAAAAAGAAAATCCTATGGAGCATAGTTCTACTCTGATACACACGGGGTCACCAGAGTTAATACTGACTCGATGGCAACTGGTTTAGGTATTCTCTTGTTTTTTTTTTTAAAGGTTGTCAGAGAACATACTTTATATTATTTCTAGTCTTTTAAATTTATTGAGATTTGTTTTATGGTCTAGCATATGGTCTATCTTAGAGAATGCTCTATGTTCACTTCAGAAGAATGTATATTCTGCTATTATTGGGTGGAGTGTTCTATAGCCTTCTGTTAGGTTGAGTTGCTTTATAGTGTTCTTCATGTCTTCTATTTCCTTGTTGATTTCCTGTCTAGTTTTTCTATTCATTATTGAACATGAGGTATTTTAGTCTCCAACTATTATTCTTCAATTGTCTATTTCTCCCTTCATGTCTGTCAGTTTTTGCTTCATGTAATTTGATACTCTGTTATTAGATGCATACATGTTTACAACTGTCATGTCTTCCTGATGGGGTGACTTTTTTATCATTATAAAATGTTCCTCCTTATCTCTATTATCTCTACTTCTTTTAAAGTCTATTTTGTCAGATATTAGTAGAGCCATCCCAACTTTCTTATTGTTGCTGTTTGTGCGATATATCTGTTTCCATCCTTTTACTTCCATTCCATTTGTATCTTTGGATCTAAAGTGTGTCAGTTTCATTCATTCCAAGGATTTCCAAAAGAGACGTCTTGCATGGGCTTACATGCTTCTGAGGCCCAAACTACTGTGGTCATTAAAATGCCATTTTATTACTTCCCTATGGACACAGCTAAAAAGCAGAGGTCCACTTTTTTCTGTGGAATTCTTTTAAGTCCTCACTTCACAACTTGTGGTTTGGTTTCTACACAGCAATCAGCACCGTAGTTACCTGACTAATGTAATTTCCAAAAACTGCCTAACATATTTAGGAACTTAGAGACTGAAGAGGAATTGCCAGACCCCTTCTCTCATCTCTGCTCCTATCAAGTACTCCCTCTCTTCCCCAGAAGCCTACCTTCATCTCCACACAAAGCAGTTCAATACAAATTTATAAAACAGCCATTATCCATGATCATCTGGCTAAGAAGCCAGGTGGAAACACCTCTGAGTCTGTACTCAAGGCTAAATCCATTCACTCTGGAAAAAGTCTTGCTTCTCTCAAGTTGTTTGGAAGTGCAGATAAGGCCCAGCAGAGTAAGCAATTTCCTCTGAACTCAAGAACACTTTGTACCATGATACTGTAATCGTTTGTATAGACCTAGCCTCACTCACAAACAGAGAAAATACTGAAGTTGTCAAGGATTTCATTTTACTTGGATCCACAATCAACGCCCATGGAAGCAGCAGTTAAGAAATCAAACGACGCATTGCATTGGGCAAATCTGTGGCAAAAGACGTCTTTAAAGTGTTAAACAGCGAAGTTATCACTCTGAGGACTAAGTTGTGCCTGACCCAAGCCACAGTATTTTCAATCACCTCATATACATGTGAAAGCTGGACAATGAATAAGGAAAAGCAGAGAACTGATGCATTTGAATTATGGTGTTGGTGAAGAATATTGAATATACCATAGACTACCAGAAGAATGAACCAATCTGCCTTGGAAGAAGTACAGCCAGAATGCTCCTTAGAAGCGAGGGTGGACAGAATTCCTCTCATGTACTTTGGACATGTTACCAAAAGGGACCAGTCCCAGGAGAAGGACATCACGCTTGGTAAAACGGAGGGACAGGAAACGAGAGGAAGACCCTCAATGAGATGGACTGACACAGTGGCTGCAACAATGGACTCAAGCATAACAACTGAGAGGATGGCACAGGAGCAGGCAGTGTTTTGTTCTGTTGTACAAAGATAGGGTCGCTAAGAGTTGGAATCGACTTCAAGGCACCTAACAACAATCCTCACTCCTTCCCCTTCACCCCAACCTTGAGCTGTAAAGTCTTTTAAGGGCCTGTAAACAACATCTTCTAAGGAACCGTGGTGGTGCAACGGTTAAGCGCTCGGCTGACCAAAAGGTTGGCGGTTCAATCCACCAGCTGCTTAGCAGGAGAAAAAACCTGGCGATCTGCTCCAGTGAAGATTACAGCCTAAAAACCTAGCAAAAAATGCGGCAGTTCTACTCTGTCCTGTAGGGTGGCTATGAGTCAGAATCCGCTCCACCTCCACCGCACACAACATCTTAACTTCGGAATATCTGATGTCAGCAAAAGTTGAGCAAAGGTAGAGGTAACTATTGGTGAAAATAAATGAAACGGACAGCGATTTCTTTCCCCGGCTTTGAACCTAAATAGATATGTACCCCTCAGCAAGTGATATCACTTCGCTGAGTCTCAGTTTGTCCATCTGGGCCTCCAAGTTCTCCTCAAACTCTGACAATCTCTGGTCTAAAATGCTGTGGAGATCTTGCCCTAACACCGGCGTTCCTAGCAACCTACCTGTATAGCTTAAAAGAAAGAAAGTAAAAATTGCCCTCCAGCTCCAAGATCCTGAGGAGCGCGCGGGAGATCCGGAGACCTGGGCGAGGAGGCAACGTTGGGGACCAACTCACCTTCCCTAAACCAGGGGGACATATAACTCAGGATGTAGGTAGGGTCCAGAGTCTTCCTGACGTAGTTCCTGAAGGTGTGCAGATTCTGGCGCTCCTCGGCCGTCATGCCTGCTTACCAGCTCCTGGCCAGGTCCCCGCCTCGCCCGGCACCCGACTCCCTTTAGAGCTGAGCTGGTTGAGCGCGGCTAGCGGGGAGAGATTTTCCGAGAACTCGATCTAGCGCTGAAGGGCGGAGCTGCCTGGGAACCTGAACTATCAGAGGGAAAATCGAAACTGCAACTAGTGGCCGGCTTGGGGCGGGCCTGAACCGAAGCCTCGTAGTCGCTCTGTTTGGGGATTGGGTCGCGACACCTCCTCCACAGCTTCGTTTCCTGACTTGCTGCCTAGTTTGCTAACCCCAGGCGGCTCGCTGACCCAGAAGGACCGAAGAGGACCCTTGGTAGTGGCTTTTAATTTTTATATTATTTATCCTATTTTTATTTTGTTTTTATAGCCGTAAGGTCTAGATACAGTAAAATGCACTGATTTTAAGTGTACAGTTCGATGAGTTTTGAAAAACGGGTACGCGGATGTAACCACTTCCCCAAACATGGCTGGGTCCTATGGTAGGAGTATGTTTAACTTTACAGAAGACTGTCACCTGTTTGCCAAAATGGCTGTACCATTTTGCATTCCCACCAGCGGTATGAGAGTTTCAGGTGATGTGCATTTTCGCCTTGGTCAGTCAGAGTTTTTTTTTTCCTCCAGCCATCTTGGTGGGTGTAAAATGGCGTATCACTGCGGTTTTAATTTGAATTTCCCATATAATTAATGATGTTGGGCACATTTGCATGTGCATATATTAGCCATTCGTATATTTTCTTTGTGAAGGGTCTGCTCAGGTCTCTTGCCTTTTTTTTAGTTTTCTTTTTATTATAGATTTACATTAGTTATTTATTTATTCAGAGACCCTAGGTGGTGCAGTGGTTAACAAGCTCAGCTGCTAACCATAAGGTTGGAGGGGTTGGAGGTGCAAGTCCATCCAGTGGTGACCAGGAAGAAAGGCCTGGCAATCTCCCCAAATATCAGCTATTGAAAATCCTGTGGAGTACAGTTCTACTCTGACACACAAGGGCTCCCCGTGAGTAGGAATTAAGGACAGCTGGTTTAACTGGTATTTATTTGTTCTGTATACAAACCCATATCAAATATATGTATTACAAACGTCTTCTCCCAGTCTGTGTCTTGATGTTCCATTTTCATAAAGGGGTCTTTTGATAAGCAAAGGTTTATTTTGATGAAATTAAATTTATCAGTTTTTTTCTTTTATTGTTTTTTGTGCCCTCTTTAATAAATTTTTGTCTACCTTAAGGTCATGAAGGTATTTTTCTGTTTTCTTTTAGAATCTTTATGCTTTTAGCTTTTATGTGTAAGTCTGTGCAAATCTCAAATTAATTTTGTGTGTGGTAAAAGGCAGGGGTCAGGGTTCATTTTCTCTATTCTTTTATTCAATAGTTCCAGCACCATTTTTTCAAATTTTTTTTTATTGTACTTTAGATGAAGGTTTACAGAACAAATAGTTTCTCATTAAACAGTCAGTACACATATTGTTTTCTGACATTGGTTAACAACCCCACGACATGTCAACACTCTCCCTTCTCGACCTTGGAAGACCTTTTTTTTGGTGAAAATATACATAGCCAAAGTTACACCATTTCAAAAGTTTCTACATGTACAATTTAGTGACATCGATCACATTCTTCCAGTTGTGCTCCTATTCTCACTATCCTTTTCCAAATTATTCCATCACCATTATCTTCAACTCACTGCCTCCTAGGCTTTTCATTAAACCTTTTGACTTGCCGTTGTCAATTTGCTCTCATACAGATAATTCTTTTTTTTTTTTTTTTTTTTTGGTACCTTAGATGAAGGTTTGCAGAACAAATGGTTTCTCATTAAACAGTCAGTACACATACTGTTTTATTACATTGGTTAACAACCCCACGACGTGTTAACGCTGTCCCTTCTCAACCTTGGGTTCCCTATCACCAGCTTTCCTTGTCCCCTCCTGCCTAGTTCTAGTCCTTGTCCCTGGACTCCTGTACCTCATTAGTCCCGTTTTGTTTTATAAGGCTGTCCAATCCCTGCCTGAACGGTGAACTTCGGGAGTGACTTCACCACTGAGCTAAAAAGGTGTCCGGGGGCCATGCTCTCAGGGTTTTTCTCAGTCTGTCAGGCCAGTAAATCTGGTCTTTTTTTTTTTGTGAGTTAGAATTTTGTTCTACATCCTTTTTCCAGCACCATTTTTTGAAAACGTTTCCTTCCATTGAATAGCCTTGGCAGCTTTGTCAAAAATATCAATTGACTGTATATACATGTGCAGATTTATTTGACTTTCTATTCTGTTCCATTGATCTAATTGCTGATTTTTGTGCCAATACCATACTCTCTTAATTACTGTAACTTTCAAGGAAGCTTTGAAATCAGTGTGAATCCTTCAACTGTGTTTCTCTGTGGAAAGATTGTTTGGTTATTCCAGGTTCTTTACATTTTCGTATGAAATAAGAACCAACTTTTAAATCTTCACATACACACAAAAAAAAAAACCTACTGGGATTTTGATCAGGATTGCCTTGAAACTATAGATAAATTTGGGGAGAACTGACATCTTAACAATATTGACTCTTCTAATCTATAAACATGGTACCGCTTTCTATTTCCTTGGTCTTCTTTTGTTGTTGTTGTGCTTTAAGTGAAAATTTACAATTCAAGTTAGTCTCTCATACAAAAATTTATACATACATTGTTATGTGACCCTAGATGGTCTCCCTAT